TGTTTTGAAATGTTAAAAACATCTTGAATGCTGTTCAAGATAAAGATGAAATTATATTACACAGTCCAAGGTAAAAAAGCACATTTTGTTAAAAAAGAGAAAAGTTGGGAGGTTGTATCAAAGCATAGCTCAGTAGCTTAGTACATATAAGATACATAAATGTAGTTTCATTTGTCTGAGTACAAGGTTTTATTTTTTCAATTTTGCACCTTGTTTTGTCCCACTTCTCAAGATGTTCCAATGTAATACATGCAGGGTTTGAAATTAACACCCGCCAAATGAGGGTAAAAATCAGATGTGGCGGGTAACGTTGTCAAATCACTAGCCAATTTGGCGGGTTACTTTTTATAAATTGTTCACTCGTTAATTTCTTGGTAAAGCTCATGTAAGCCAAATCTGCGCAGTTTTAGCGCAAATACTCAACTCGTGAGTCATCATGGTATACTAAATACAGCATTATTGCGCAACATCTGCACATACCTGGCTTACTTGAACACACCCGTCACTACGCAACAAATAACGGCGTGCTAGACTAGATACAAGACTCGAACACGAACATAATAATGTGGCGATACTTAGCTGGGGTTACTAACCCTAGCGTAAAAAGGAAAGTCACCCCAAACAATGAAGCAGACAAGAAAAGAAAAGCAGAAGTTTTAATACCAAGTGGCAAACTGGGCGCGAATGGCTCGTCTATGACTCCACAAATCAGATAATGTATTGTGAGGACTGCCGGACATACACATTAGAAAAGCACAAAACAAATAATTTTGTTACTGGAACGAACAACTTCAAGGTGGAAGCTGTTAAAGACCACGAAAATTCTAAAAGTCATCTCCAGAGCTTAGCCACAAAACAAGCAAAATCAACGTCTATTGAAAACTATGAAGGGCCGTATAGACCATAATTATCGAAAAACCTCTTACAAACACTAGTGAAATAAAAAACTACTCATCCACGGCCCTTACAGCTTGCAACAATGAATGGATGGTTCTTGTGTGATCCTCAAGTTCTCTGAGCAGGGTTTCCATATTCATGCCATCAACAGCTCTCTGAATATCCTCTAAACACTGCAGTGTACTTCTAAAAAAAGCTGTAATGTTGTCCTCATTGTTCCTAATGGAGGAAAACAAAGCAAACACTTGCAGAACCAAAAATAGTCTCTGTGGGGACATTTTGAAATATTGAAAGACAGCTGTGTGACTTTCCTTTTTCAATTTCCAAATGCTAGAAAGCACTTAGCCAGAGAACAACATTCCCGGCCAATTAAATCTTTAGAATTGGCTGAGGGGCGGGGTTTATGCTTAACTGAGTCAGTTTATATTCTGTAAAGCATTTTTTTCGAGTCCTTAAAAAGAGTATTTAATTCGACGTGTGAAACCGAATAAATATGAAAATTGAAACAAACACTCATCAAATGGTTTGATACCTTTATGTATTATTGAAACTGAAAGTGAATGTGAAGGTGACATATTGCAGTTCAATCTTACACATCTGCTTAAAGGGGTCATAGGATGCTACATGCACTTTTACAAGTTGTTTGAACTGAAATGTGTTGGCAGTGTGTGTACACAACCACCCTATAATGATAAAAATCCACCGTGTTTTTTTTTAATCTACTAAAATCTTTACCCCTTTCTCAAATCGAGCCGATCTCAGATGCCTGTCTGTGTGACATCACAAAAACAGGCCACGCCCACGATAGTTTGATTGACAGTAGCGTTTCAGCACAGACTGGACTGGTGTCTTACCTTAGACCATTTACTCCCGACATCTGAGCCGCTAAAGACGCAGTGGATTACGTTTGTTTTTGAAGAGAGTGCGCCCCCGATCTACCTAAATGCATCTATGTTCGCGTGAATCATTTGTGATCTAGCTTCACCTCCAGAAGAAGTGGGTATAAGGTTCTATAATGAATCTTTGCAAATCGCCTTTCCTAATAATGTGCTAATTAGCAAGTTTCACGATGAATGCCAAGTAAACAGTCCCTCAGAGAGCGGCTCGGAAGAGAGGGGCGGGGTCAGCAGAGCTCATTAACATTTAAAGGAAAATGCTACAAAATGGCTTGCTCTGAAAAGAGCTGTTTTTGACAGGGTAAAAAAGGTGTTTTTTACACTACCATTGAGAAATTTTAAGCAAACTATGTTACAGACTTTTCATTAAGACCCTCAAGAATCATATCAACTTGTGGAAAATGGGCATCCGATGACCTCTTTAAGTATGATTAAATCAATCCTGTGGTAATATTCCGTGTGATAATGTGTTTTAGGGTCACTAGGTGGCAGTAGACACACATCAGAACATCACAGTTATAATAACACAGCAATCAATATGACTCGCAACGGGCATTTCTGACTTACTGACACAGAAACACTGTGAATGTGTGAGCATTGGTAAACTGAAGCAGGATGTGATTGGATGAGGTTTTCACAACTGTCAATCACGTCCCTCATGTGACCTATGACTGATATGTTGATCTCTTCCACAGACCTCATTCTATTTTCTCTGTACTGATGGTTGTCTTTTTACATTTTATTTATTTGAATTATTTTTGTTAACCAGTGAACCAGTTTCAGATGCATAAGGACAGTGAGTTTTCTGTAAGGTTTCTCTTTTGTGAAGAATTTCCCTGTGCAGTGGTCAGAGAAACCGATTTTGGGGTTTGCAGGAAAGCCAGGTAGTGATTGTACTGTACAGTGCTTGTTCTTTAATAACACAAAAATATGAGCACATGCCATTTATTAGATAAATAAAGAATATTTGGAGAAAAGTTTCATACTTTACTTACACTGCACTCATGTTAATGATGCGGTGAGAAAACACTTTCACAATTTCACTGCATGCTGCTCTGTTCAGTACACTGCAGTTTGATTTGATTTAAGTCAGTTCAACGTAGCTCCAGTTTATGTGCGTGCAGTGCAGCAGAGCCCCTCCCCGCGCGCACTGCGATACACTGGCGACACACACACGCGGCTGCCAGGGCCCAGCTCCGTCAGCTCTGTGGACAGTGAATTTGGCGGCAGGTACATTGAGGAAGATGAGGATGACGAAAAAGGCTGATCTTCATTCTTCCAACTCACCCAGTAGCCCAGAAGCCCCGCCCCCTGTCCCTGCCACTCAACCTGTACCAAACCCCGCCCCACCGTGGTCAACTGCAGGTCAGTTAGCGCCGGGAGTGCTAAAACACATAATTCAGCATTAATATTCAGCATAAAGAGGACATGTGTGATCTTCAAACAGGGTAAGTACCATCTGGTGTACAGGCTCGGATGGACATCGCCCTCTGCTGGCCGGAGGAGTGCAGGGCAGTGATGGTGATCAGGTACTTGGTGTCTGGGCGGAGCTGGGTGAGGAGGGCGGAGCTATGATTTGAAGGCAGGGTCAAATTCCAGACCAGACCGCTGGGAATCTCTCCATACTCCACACGGTACTGCTGGACCTGCTCAGGCTGGACTGGACTCCAGCTCACATGCAAGCGATCCGAACTTGAATCTGACACCTTCACGGTGGTCGGACCGAACCGCTCTAGATGGAGTGAAACTCGGTTTTCATTTAACTAACAAATATCATATTCTCATATTCATAACAGCAGTTTACATCTGTCTTGGGTGCAGGTATTTATTTAGTGAATTACATCGAGTAAATACTAGCTTTGCCGACATATATTTTGGCAAGTAATAATAAATAATTATCAGCATTAGTAAAAATTTTCATGTTTTGCTATTATTAAACTATTTTGATTACTTATATATTCATTAATTCATATTTAATATTACTGTTGACTAAATTCCTGGATCTTGAGAAATTCAATGATGTGACAAACATAACCTGCTTTAAACATAATGACTCACCAATGACAGTATTGAAGATCTTTTCACTATCACTGTTGCTGCTGATGACCACTAGTTTATAAAGTCCAGAGTCTGTGGGTGTGGTGTTGGTGATGGCCAGAGATCCAGTCTGATTGTCCAGCTTCAGTCTGTCTCTGAATCTCTCATCAGCATCTTCACGCTGAACATCTGTACAGATAAAACGGCGATCTCCATTGATGTAAGCGATGCGAATGCCATTAAAATACCAATGAATCTTTTCTTTTTGGATTATTTCAACATCAGTGTGTAGAGTGACTGAATCTCCTTCCATCACTGACTCTGAGACTCCATCTGAACCAGCACCAGACATGCCTAGAGAAGAAATGAACAGTTCATTAAATCATGTGGGATAGTGGAACAAAAATAGACAACTATTGTATATTCAAGATTCAAGATTCAAGATTTTTTTTATTCGTCACCTACATGTTATATAGAGCCAGCAGTGAAATGTAAGTAGAATCCAGTCGGAGTTATATTAAAAATTGTCCTGGCTATTCCAAGCTCAATCATTGCAGTCAGTGGGTGTTGCAGTACTTCAGTCCAAAAGAAGTGAAATAAAAAGCGCCTATCCATAAAAAAAAAGTGCCTCACACGGCTCCGGGGGGTGCATAAAGGCCTCCTGTAGCGAATCAATGCGTTTTTGTAAGAAAAATATCCATATTCAAAACGTAATAATCACTTTAATCTAGCTTGCGCCAACAGTTATATGGTATATGGTGTTTATTGTACATCATAATACAACACACATCTTGATTCATTAATTGCATATGAATATTGCATATATTTGCATTCACACAACTAAAAAAATTATCATTGCATACTTTCATACACCCCTCATGACTATAATTCAAAGAAGTGGAACATTTATTTATTGCCATTTTCCAACACGTTTAAATTAAAACATTTTTGAAAAGCAACCTAATTAATAACTTTATTTTGGCCAGGCTGGGAGACCTGCTTAAACAATATGAACAAGCTTGGGTTTTGATTTTTGTTCTTGGTTTCAAGACATCTTAAAACCATCTAAATGCTCTGCATCTGGATCTAATTATTTTAACCACTAGTTGCTGTGTGATTTTCATGTTCCCCTTCTGCCTTTGTGTCTGCATGTACAGATAAACAAGCACTGTCTCACTCGTCCTGTAAATAGAAGCGCAGACATTTGATATAATATTAATGTATTCCATGCATTATTTGTAGCTACATCCCAAACAAAAAATTAAGAACAGATTCTTGAAATAAGAATCAATTAATATTTCGGCTACTACCCAGTTCTTGACTGCAGTTCTTTGTCTGGATCTCTGGTTTGAGCAGGGAACTCTAAACTACTCCTTCTTATCTATTGTTGAACTGAAGAGAAATAAACAAATAGATGTCTCACCGTGCAAGAGGAACGTAGAAAACACGAGCAGACTAACGAAAAACTTCTTTGTCCCCATGTTTCCTGTCAAATATGCTTAAGCATTTTGTATGAATAGAGCAGCACTGCTGAAGCAGTCGCTGCCTCACTATTTCAACATTTTTTTTGGCATTACATCGTAGGAGGTCAGCCCACACCTATTTCTAACCACACATGCTCACCATTTTTTTCCACTCATCCAAAATGAGCCTATTGATTTTAGGATATTCAAGAAAAGCAAAGGAGAAATAAAACATTGTTTGCATTTTATATCTTCCAATAAAGAATCAATGGTCGTATTTCTGTTGTTCAGAGTTTTACCTCTGACCCGAGACTTTTTTTTTAACCGTTTCACAAACATCAGTTTTGATGTAGCCTACTTGGTACTTTATTTCGCTGTTCTGTGTAGAGATGAAGTCAGACTGTGAGGTTCACAAATAATCAAGAGGCTGGAATCTCCTCCACATATGATGGTCCTGACGGGAGATTTAGAGACAGACTGAAGCTGGACAATCAAACTGGATCTCTGACCATCACAAACATCACACCTGAACATGCTGGACTCTATGAAGTAAAGATAATTGCGGCTAAACTGTCATCAAAAACATTAAATGTTTCTGTCTGTGGTAAGTATAAATATTTTTCCATTCTTCTCATATTTAATTTGATTAAATACTAATTTCACCTGTCAATAAACTTAACTGAAGCAGATTCTGTGTTGTAGTGCTAGTTTATGATTAACTATGGTGACTGGGAGGGGACATGCTCAGGTCAGTGTTGCCAAGTCCGCGGTTTTCCGGAACATTTTTTTTGGCATTACATCGTAGGAGGTCAGCCCACACCTATTTCTAACCACACATGCTCACCAGTTTTTTCCACTCATCCAAAATGAGCCTATTGATTTTAGGATATTCAAGAAAAGCAAAGGAGAAATAAAACATTGTTTGCAGTTTATATCTTCCAATAAAGAATCAATGGTCGTATTTCTGTTGTTTAGAGTTTTACCTCTGACCCGAGACTTTTTTTTTAACCGTTTCACAAACATCAGTTTTGATGTAGCCTACTTGGTACTTTATTTCACTTGTCTCCTCTGAGGCTGGGACTCTAAATAGTGTTCTGTGCTCGTCTGTGCAGCCAAAGACAGAACAGTTTGTGTGTTTTGCTCAAAGTTTCGCCATGGCGTTAGAACTGTAATGTTGTCGCTTGCGAAATCAAAATGATGGTGCCATGGGTGGAAACTTCCAGATTAAGGGGTGGTAATATTACAATGAGATCCCTTTGCCACGTCACCAAGGGAGTGAAATCTGACACGCTCGTTTTCTCAGACGCTTGCAGAAAAAGGCTTACAAAAACAAAGTTACTGGGTTAATCTTTTTCACGTTTCCTTGGTTGGTAGATGCACCGTGGACCTGATTATAGCACTTAAAACCTGGAAAAGTTAGATTTTCATGATATGTCACCTTTAACACTGTTGCCGCAGGTTGTTTTTCATATCCGCGGGTTTAAGCGACCCCAATAACGTGATATTTAGCAGTGATAAAATGCGACTTTTACCAGGGGAACCCCACCAAAAACGTGTATTTTACCCCACCCCAATGCGATTTTTACCCGGGGACCCCCCTCGAAACGTGATTGGACTAGTTTTGAGTAGCAATTGGGCAGGTTTTGTTGTGAAAACCTGGCAACCCTTGTTCAGGTTAATTTAGTTTTGTCGAGGTAATGACATCCTTATAGTGGCCATGCGATGTGAAGTCGTGGCCTCGAGATCCTATGTTGAGGGAACAACATCTATATATATATATATATATATATTAGCCTACATGTATTTCAAGCTGTTTTACTGAAAATTATCACTCTAATAGTATGAGTTCTATATTATATCCAAATGCTGATTTGCCAGGCTGCAATGTAAACTAAATGCTATTGGTTAATTTTTTTATTTTTTTTTAAAAGGGGGATGAGTCACTCGGTGTGTCTTCCTGTTTCACTGGAAGTTATTTCAACACACTCCTCATCACAATATTGAGATATTTTATCATTGCTTTGTTCCCCTCAGAAGTCCACATGAATTGCTGCGGTTCTACTGAAGCTGTGATCCGATTGGTCGTCTCTACTCTGGTGGGCGTGGCTACTGTTGCTGTTCTGCTTTATGACATCAGATCCAGAAGATGAGGAGACAAGAAACAGATTTGAATTTGAATCAGTTTTAATCTGTAAAAATGCAAAAGGAAAGTTTATAAAAATAAATCACTGTTTGAGGAAAAAATATAACGAGGCAAAAGTATATAATTTATTATGTAGGAGAAAGATCCTCCCCTGTTGCTTCTATGTTATTATTGATACCTTGCGCCAATTTACGCAAAATTCTCTCGAATACATGGGATGGACCATAGACTGTAAAAAAATACTATAGTATAATACTATAGAAAAATAATGCAAAAATATCCCAGTGACCATTGATAACGGGGGTGTCCCGATCAGGTCTTTTTGTGACCCCGATCCAATCCAAGTCATTGAATATTGATTAACTGCCCTGTATCCCAATCCGATACTTGCAATTTCATAGTGCTTGTTGCACACTTAAAGTACATAATAATAATTAATAATAATTCCTTACATTTATATAGTGCTTTTCTAGGCACTCAAAGCGCTTTACATAGAAGGGGGGAATCTCCTCATCCACCACCAGTGTGCAGCATCCACCTGGATGATGTGATGGCAGCCATATTGCGCCAGAACGCCCACCACACACTAGCTCATTGGTGGAGAGGAGACAGAGTGATTAAGCCAATCAGCAGATAGGGGGATGGTTAGGAGGCCATGATGGTCAGAGGCCAATGGGCGAATTTGGCCAGGATGCAAGACTTGAATGACATTCAAGTCATTAAAATCAAATGTAGGCTACACAGGGACAAACAGAGAGTTTCTTGGGGGCAGGGGCTCAAATGTAAAAAAATAGGCATATATCACTTTAAATTAATTTATAGATTATATTTATAAGCATATAATAATAATAATAATAAAAAAAATAAGTTTACAGCATGCTAGCAGTATTCTGCCAAAATAAAAGCTTGAACAAATTCTTCTTAACTAAATATATACTATATAACTAAAATTAAAATGGCAACAATTATAAGGTATAATAATGATGCTAAGATAGTAAATCAAGCAATCTTTTCACTGAAAGTAGAACTTGATTAAATAATGATCATTTGTAACATTTAAACAGTTTATTTAAAACAGCAGCACAGAAATTTTGTGTTAAATTTATTCACATTCTGTTATCAAAAGCAACAGTAAAAATGATATACAATACAAACATGCAGACATGAAGTGCACACAAACACACACACACACACACGTTGTGTTTTCAACACACACACACACACACACACACACACACACACACACACACACACACACACACACACACACACACACACACACACACACACACACACACACACACACACACACACATACATACATCTCTGCACAGTGCAGCTGACAATCTCACAAGTTTTCTACAAAGACATACCAGTACATTATTTTACCTCTTTGGACTTTCAACAGATGACCAAGCTTGTTTCTCACCTCGTCTCCTTTGAAAAATAATCACACACACACACGCACACGCACACGCACACAGACACAGACACAGACACACACACACACACACACACACACACACACTATAAACTCTAATTTTGCATAATAAAGACAATATTTTCCTCTCACTATAGTATCTGTATGTAATACTTGCCCCTTCTAAAGATCCCGTGGTGAGCCTCTATCGCCACGAAGAACAATGACATGTACTCCTGTGTCAGGCGAGCCTGAATCCAACACAAGAGTCTTTAAGGCCTGTTAGGCTAAACGATAATAAAGATACAGCTCTAAAAAGTAGTTTTAAATATTAAAGATTAGCAGAGTCCACACCACAATAATGATAATGGAACAGAGGAACGATATTGCTGGAATCACTTTCAGAAAATGTTTTTCCAGCTGATGAACGACACAAACATTGACAGCCAATCAGAAACTGCAGCGCGTGCTTATAATAAACAGAACAACTGTTCGCTGGTGTGAACGCTAGCTTTCCAATTATAGTGTCAAACTTGCAGACAAATACTATGGGTGCTCAGATTAATAGTAGCCTAATCCAAATGAAAACATGGCTTTGTCAGTCATTTTTGTTTATGTGTTGACTAGAATTATAATACATTATATATTATATAATTATATAATATTATATATTTTTTGCATAGTTAATTTTGTTATTATAATTTGATTTCATTAAAATACCACGTCATCACATCATTTGGTTTTCTTATTTCTCCAGGATCTAAAGTGACAGATTCTCCCTGCTTCACTGACTTTCTCTGCCTTTTATCTTGTTCAGCAGCAGAAACACCTGAAACGCAAGAAGAAAAAAAAGAGAAAACAATAGCTGCTTGAGGGATTTTTTTGGGGGAAAAAAACTCCTCAACAGGAATTAACTATGAAAATAATTGTGAATATTAAATTCCTGGATCTCGATAAATTCAGTACAAACAAAATGAAATGCAAAAGTGCTAAATATCAAGTTAATTGTGAATATATCTTTATTCATATAAACTTACATATCTTTTTACCCACACATCTACTACTTTGAAATATAGCTTTCTGCATTATAATATACACTTTTTGAAAAAACTAAAATATTTATAATGATTTTCTAATCCCTTATGATCATTTTACGAGAACTAAAAAAACTATTACAGGTTCTTTACACATTTGCATACTTATTTTATATCAAATCCTCTGCACTTTGAACTAAAAGCATAACAGATGCATTTAAACAGGAAATAAGAAATGGTATGAGCAGAACAAAACTAACGGTTAAAAAACGAATGGATCACCAACGGAAAAACAAAACAGTTTAAAGTAATTGTGTTCTGTTCAGTGATGCAGGTAAAGAGAAAGACAGCTCTGAATATCACTGGTATAATAAACAACATGCTCTTAAACATAATGACTCACCATGAACAGTAACGTTGAAGGTCTTGGGACTATTGCTACCTCTGATGATCTGTAATTCATAAACTCCAGAGTCTGTGGTTCTGAGGTTTGTGATGGTCAGAGATCCAGTCTGATGATCCAGCTTCAGTCTGTCTCTGAATCTCTCATCAGCATCTTCACATTGAACATCTGTACAGGTATGACTGAGATCTCCACTGATTTGAGCGATGCGAGTGTCATTAAAATACCAATGAATCTCTTCTTGTTGGTTTGTTTCAACATCAGTGTGTAGAGTGACTGAATCTCCCTCCATCACTGACACTGAGACTCTATCTGTCTCAACACCAGATGCACCTGGAGAAGAAATATATTAATAATATTAACTGTAAATCATGTCTGGGAAAGTCAGACAAACATATACAACAGAAAGGTGCTGTGAAAATATTCTTCAAAAGATCAATCAAACTACACAAAAGCATCAATGATTCACACATTCACTCATCATATATGACAAACATACGTTATTTTGTAGGTTATATGGCGTTTATTGTCTGTCATAATATACACCATACAACACACATCTTGACTCATATATTGCATATTAAAATTGGCCTTCTTACGACCAAGGAGTGATCACTGCATACTTTCATACACCCTGATGATGACTATAATTCAAAAGAGTGGAAAATTAATTTATAGCCATTTTCAAACATAAAAAAAATATTCAAAATGATATTTCAATTTTAATTCAGACTACAACTAGTTTTTTTTATTTTTATAATTGCTCAGTCAGGCTGGGAGACTGGCATAACAAGCACACCAGCATAGAATGGGTTGAGCCAGAGTTTGGGTCTTGCCATTTTGTTCTTGGTCTCAACTCAACTCTTAAAACAGTGTAAATGCTCTGCATCTGGGTCTAATAATTTCTGCCACTAGCTGTCATGGGATCTTAACCATTATAAGCGTCGACAAGCATGCCGTCTTGCTCATCGCGTAAATACAAGTGCATACATTTGATATAAATGTATTGCATGCTTTATTTGTATAGCTACATCCGAAACAACAAATTGAGGACAGATTTTTGAATGAAGGCCCGTTGAAATATTTAGTTTCTGTGAGAAACTGATTCAGTGGGTGGAGTAAACATGAATGTTAATTAATCTTCTCTGCAGTGGTCTTGGCTTTTGAACAACGAACAAACGAATGCAATGAAAATGGTTGTTTGCGCTTCAGATCACGACTGTAACAGAGACGCTGGAGTTTGGTTAGAATCCATGAGCGGAAGTTTATTAAAGGTCAAGGCTTTAAACAGATGTCGATAATCAGGCAGAGGGTCAAAGTCAGAGAAGCAGGCAGATCGTTCGTCATACACAGGGGCAGAGGCAGAGACAATAGTGGAAAGGCAGGCAATGAGTCCAAACAAAAACATCAGTCCAATCAGGCGTCAGAACAGAAGGGGCAGAGTACAAATACCGTGAGTCAAGAAGTCAGGCAGAATCATACACAGGAATCAATCAGGAACAGAGGAACTATAACGCTTGGTAAGGCAGATGAACTGGCAATACTTCGCGACCAGCACATGGACTGGTCTCAGTTTATATGAGAGTCAAACAGGAAATGGAAGTAGAGGAAGCAGAGGGAGTGGAGCACGGTCAGTACTCGGGCGAGGGCTCCCTCTGCTGGCTTGGCGTTACAACGACTTGTTTTATGGATTATTTCCATCAGGTAATAAGCCGAACGGACACACGACCACTTAAGTCTCTTGGATCAACCCCCAGTGATTATACTGAGGTCGTCAAACTGAACATTTTCATCATATGCTATATCATACTACTGCATAAATTGAATAATTGAAAATTACTTCAGAATCCACACCGGAGAGCGAAGTTGTAAATATTCATGTTTACTCCACGCATTGGAACATTTTTTTCTCACAGGAACTAAATATTTCACAACACCTATGGCTGTATGATGCATTTACTACAAAAAATTACTTATTAAGTGTTCAATAGTGTATTTACTTTTTTATTTACACTTTTATTTAATTATTTTATTTTTTGAACTTGAAAAGATGTAAAAAAGTTGCTAGTTGTCTTGTTCTTAGTTCAAAAAACAAAAATAAATGAAAAGTTGTTGAATGTTATATTTTATATTAGATGATTAATATTTAGGCTACTACCTGTCTGTAGTCTGGATCGGGGTCTTGGAGCATCTAATCTTGACTAGACCTCTGGTTTGAGCAGGGAACTCTAACCTAATCATTATTTTCATTGTTGACCTGAAGAGAAATTAACAAATAAATATCCTACCGTGCAAGAGGAATGTAGAAAACACGAGCAGACTAACGAAAAACATCTTTGTCCTCATGTTTCCTCTCAAATGTGCTTCGGCGGATCTGGACTACAGCTGCAGTGTTATGTAACAGGGTATTATGGCAAGCCGTTTAGACTTTTATTCATTCTCAGGATATGAATCTTGATATCAACAATTCAATTTTTACTAGTTAATCATGAATGTGATTGTTACTAGTAACAAAAGTAATTTTAGATATCAGAAATTACCCTCCCAATTGTTGATTTCAGAAATAAATTTTCCTGAGAAGGAATAAAAGTCAAAACGGCTTGCCATAATAGTTGATATGCTGATATCAACAATTCAAAACGCTCCTGTAGGCTATTTTTAATCATTATTTTGTTTTCATTTTGGCAGAGGCTACTTACACTAACTCCGCCTTCCAACGTGTGGTAGTGTTACACAACACTGCAAAAAAACATCTTTCAACTGCGAGCTTCAGTGGCGCAGGTGATGCGACGAACCGAGTTCGAATCCGCCTTCTGCCGAGCTCCCCTTTTCACATCCCGTATCACATCGGAAAGGCATATATTTTCAATAAAAATGAAGGAAATTTATGAAAAGTGGAAAATACATTTTTTCATTTACACTCGTTATTATTGTAGCCTATACTGTTTTATAATGTAGCCTACTACAATAATGAGGTGCAGATATTGGCCACTATTTGCACTAAGTAGTACGAACAGCATCAAACTACTATTACTGCAAGAAAATACTCCTATTATTAAATAGTGTAAATAGAATCTATTACTAGGAAAATATGCTATTTTCACTTAGTGTAAATAGAATTCATTGTATTAAAATAGCCCCTGCCAAAATCAAATTCTAAACTATCAGACATTTCAACTGGAAGACGAAGGCAGTGATATTAATTTTAAGTGTAGCGACAGTAGTTTCATATTATTAGTGTGCATAGAAATATGTGAAATGCTTGTAGATCATTTACCCCAATAAAACACACTTGTCAAGTTTCCAGACATGACTAAATATATAGTGCTGTACTGCAGGGGCGGTTCTAGACCCTTTTAGGTGGGCTTCAGCCCCCCTATTTGTCGTCTCAGCCCCCTAAAACTATAATCAGCTATCTGAACGATCAGACCAGTGCTGCTTCCTCATGAAAGTTTATCATTCTCGCTTTTAAGGGCAAGATGGCACGAGTGAGATCTCAATGTGGTATTCACGCGCTGTGATATCGTTACTGTGTGCACACAATAGCCTACACACAATATTATGTCACAATAACTGTTTTGTCGGGTATCCAAGTAAACACAGTCGGTTACGTCTTAACAGTTAAGAAAATCTTTAATAGGTAATTGTGTATGTTTATTTCATACAGTAATACAGTTTTCATAAGCACTGTAAAATACTGTTTATTTAGGAATTTTTTATCTTTGTATCTAATTGTCTCTTTGAGGGCTAAGCCCCCCTGAGGATGAAATCCTAGAACCGCCCCTACATTTAAAATGAAGACACCATTTTATTTATCTCTTTTGAGATAACATGTCTCTATTCCATTTTATTTTGTGTTCAAAGAGAAACGCCGGCACGAATTTGAGCACGCAATATGACGACTCATTCATGTAGCCTAAATACAATGATATTACAAAAACAAAACAAAAATCCATTAAAACGTTCAAACCTTGTATGACGCATTATTATCTGTTTTATTTTTCCTTTTGGTTGTATTTTTTATTTCATGTATTAGAAGAAAGTGTAATGAAACCAAAAATAAACATATGAAAAAAAGCAATTTTTTATGTTAAAGCTAAAGTAATGCCTTGTTCATTTTTCCTTTAATTATCTGAAGGACTTGGTGGCCAATAAAAAGAAACAGGATAAAATTACTTTTTTTTAACAATTAACAAAAAAGAAAATAAATAAATAAATCCAGCCATAATACAATTTTCATGTTTAACATCTTAAGGACATTTTCTAAACGTCTATTTGACATCTGATAGGAAACGTCCTATAGACGTATTGCAGATGAGCAAACACTAATAAATGTCTTGCAGATGTAAATGCAGACGTCAGATATACGTCTCCATGATGTACGTGTGCTATCAGGGTTAATTGCCGTCCGAATCCACATTTACAAGAAAAGGTCAGATCAAATTTCACTGTTTAAATCCTGTTTGACTATTGCCGTACGGTTGCTGTTATTTGCATGCATTTTAAAGATGTATATTTTTATTACCGAAATGCTGGAAATAAACTATTTACAAGAACAATATTTCATTGCTCCACCACAGCAAGAGGGAGCTGTTAAAAACAAACAAAAAAGAGAAATATTTAAGCTTGCACATTAAAAATATAAGCCAATCAGCTTTTTGTTTAGCTTTGTTTGGGAACAGGTAAACAGGTTGTATTAAGGAGAGCCTTGAACAGACAGGAAGAGACTGCTGGAGCGCCACCTAGAGGATGAGCATGGAAACAACGCTTTCCCAGCAATTTCCTTAAAAACTGATGCCTTAAATGTTGTTTATAATTCACATTCACACATTATTCACAAACATAAATTAATACAGTATTAACAGTCTCCTCCAAACAACAAGCGGTTTTCTTGCATCTTATATATCTAATCACGTATAATCAAGTCCTCTGGGCCCAGTTGTTCAAAAAGTTTAATCTGGATCTGAATCCCTCGTTTTACAATTCAGCATCAGGTCATCCATCTTACTTTTGTGCCAGTTTTTAAAGCATCATTGGATTGGACCTGATCCAGATACAAACATCGGACAAATACGGAATTCTCTAAATCCATTAACAAACGCACAACAGAATTAATCACACACAAAATGTTATTTTCATAATACAGAAAATCTGAACTGAAAATACTGTGATGTTTCCTGTTATTAACAGTGGTTTATAAACAAACAAAAGTTTATTTAAAAGGAGAACAGTAAGAACATCTGTAAGTCCTATAAACATAGAGTTTCAGAGCCCTGCAGTCTTCAGAAAAACACTCTGAATTTAGACCACAGGTCAGATATCGCATTCACATCTTATCAGGTGACAGACAGTATTTGAAAATATTATATTACAAAATAATATTATAAAATATGATATTATTCTTACAATTTATCATTTAGTCATTTACAAAATATTCAAGAATGAACAACTAAAGCAAAAATATGTAACAGTGCAAGAGCATCAAATAAAAACAAACAAGAATAAAATCATATATCCAAAGTTCTGTCATGAAACTCTAGATGGTGCAGTCTGATAGGTCTAACTGATATAATGACATCATTATCACATGGCCAGCTGATTGGTTCTTTTCTGTATCAGCAGCCAGTGAGCTCGCTGCTCAACATTCAAATACTTGGCTAGTGCTTGCCGTAGCTGTTGCAGCGCTCTTCAGAAACCCTTCACCATCCCCAGCTCCACCTGTATAGATCTGCTACGGGGTGTTTCATGTATGCTATGGGGTGTATTCATATATGTTATATGTGCAGCAGCAGCAGCAGCAGTATTTTCTTCCATGCTCACAGCAGCATGTCTGTGCATGGATGTATTGGCAGTAGCAAGTCTCGGTACTTGCTCTGCCACAGCAGCAGCGTAGCAGCAGTGTAGCAGATCTATTCTGCCAAGACCAAACACATTAACATTGGCAAGTACATTACCATGCCAAACCCTCCGAGAGTTATGACAGAAATACATTAATTAACCTGAGATTAGCCCTGCAAAATTTTGCGGGTGTAATAACAATCAAGCCATTTTACAGTGCAACATCTTGTAGCACCATAAATCAGTCAAACAGGCTCAAAAGAGTAGAATATCATCAGCACAATATCAGCATCAGTGCAAACAGCAAACTGTTACATCAACTTCATCATAAAGGAAAGCTTGTTTCTCTATTTATGTCAAAACAAATCAGAATCAGAATCAGAAAGAGCTTTATTGCCAAGTGTGTTTACACACAGAAGGAATTTTTCTTGGTGTAAGGAGCTTCCAGTACAGAAAGTACAGACATAGGTTAATTTAAAGTAATAAAACACTAATACTTTCTTATTATTTCTTCTTATTCTTATTAGACTAGACAATAAATTATAAATAACAATATAGTAATAAAATATAGAAAAAGAAAATGTCAACAGACAGAATTGTGAATGTGCATATGTGCTATTTACAGATGAAAATATTTGATAAGTTAAGTTTGATAAGTTATTTACAGCTGTAAAGACTTGAGATGTGTTATGTGTTGTTCAGGTGGGATATGGCCTGGGGGGAAACTGTTCTTGTGTCAGGCTGTTTTGGTGCTCAGTGCTCTGTAGCGCCGGCCAGAGGACAACAGTTCAAAATGGAAGTGTGCTGGGTGTGAGGGGTCCAGAGTGATTTTACCAGCCCTTTTTCTCACTCTGGAGGTGTAAAGATCTTGAAGGTTTGGCAGGGGAGCACCAATAATCAATAAATGAAAGTCTTCACTCATTAGTTTCATATCAAAAAGCACAAATGGCTTGACTTTACACACTCTTGATGTGTTTATTGTTGTGACTAAACTACTGCTGTTCCATTTGACCGGGTTTGGGCAATTTAATCACTTAATCATCAATAAAAGGAAGGTCATCGGTCTCTTCTGGGGGTCTTCCAGTCTCTTATCTGTGAGGAAACAGAAAAATAAATAAATAAATACAATAAAATAAAAAGTGCAAAAGAGTAAATCAAACAGTCTGAACTAATCAAATAACACTGATGCAGCATTATTATTATAATAATGGTGTTTAATAAATTACTCAATTAAGTCATAGTAACAAACATTAAATGATAAGGGTTATGAACACAGAGTAAGAGCTCCTGCTATAACTAAACTATTTGTTTGAAGAATGAAGCTTTTGGTTAATCACTAAATTTACTCTTTTATTTGTCCAATACTTTAACAATAACTGTGATGTGCAGAATATGTGTGTGTGTATGTGTGTGTGTGTTGTTAAAACTAGTAAATGGCTTTCTTTTAAATTGCGGCATCTTGTCTTATTTTCCAAAGCAACATACACATCTTAGAGTTTTATTTATTTATTAATTTTTTAAAAGACATCTCTTTAAGGTGTAGTCAGAAAAATCAAAAAGACATGAAGAAAATATCAGCTCTGGCTTTATAATTGTATTAATGATGTTAATGTTATGATGTCTGAATGAACAACATGAATGAATCCATATCGCACACATCTTACAGTGTTTCTTAATCTTGGTAAGAGGGGCTGACGACGTTCTGAAATAAAACAGATTTGAATTTATTGTAAATCTTTCATTGTCACAGGCAGGTAAGAACCCACTTAGACACGAAGAGCCATCTAACTGACATGTAAAGCAGTTTTATTGAGTTTTTGTGTGCCAGAAATGTGTCTAGACTCTGTCCAAAAATAAATATAGTAGTGCTGTCAAATCGATTAATAGGGATTAATCACATCCAAAATAAAACTTTGTGTTTACATAATATATGTGTGTGTACTGTGTATATTTCTATATATAAATACACACACATGCATGTGTAAGGAATATATGTAATATATTAATCATAAATATGAATATATATATACACATGTATACATGTGTATTTATACATTTAAATATACACAGTACACATAAATATATTATGTAAACACAAAGTTTTATTTTGGATGTGATTAATCACTATTAATCAATTTGACAGCACTAAAATATAGACTTTACTACAGACATAAAGCAGAATATATAGTTCTGCTTGTCGATCTAGTTGTTACTATGTGTCTCAAACAAAACTCAGATTTGATGTCACGACCTGTTTGAAAAGTCATTATTTCATACTCAAAAGCACTCACTTTATGGTAACTTGCAAACAGACGGAATGATAAAAACACCTGTGCGCTCTTATCATAAGGTCCAGAAAAACAGTTAATCAGATCAGATCTTACTAGATGGAGAAAGTGTTTTTAGTCTGTGCTGACAGAGCTATGAAATCTTACAAGACCAGCCAGTCACATTATCAAATTACAAACCTTCTCCTTGTGCTGTTCTTTAATTGCACAGTGTGCAGTTATGTTTATGGTGTATGATCCTGTAAATGTTTCATGCTGTATTTTTAATTATACAATAATTTTACTATTTATCTTTCTTTAATAATATTTTATAATTAGTTTAAACGTCTAAATTTCTTTTTAGGTTAGCTTCGAGTAATGCATGACTTCTCCATTTCAGAGTATGTTCAGAATGACACACGGTTTGCTCTTCAGTTTTAAAAAGCACAAGGTCAGTGCTGTCTTTAATACTTCAGTGTTTCTTTTGTAATGCTGTTTAGAGATTAAAAAAGTTTATTGATTTGTAATGCTGTTTAATATTGAATATCTTCAATACCACCATTAGGATGAAGGCACATCATACTCCTACAAACACAAAGTTTTTGAGATCAAACTCTATCATAACATCTGCAGAAACTGAGTTAAGTTTGCGTTTTCTACAGACACACAAAGACACAGCTCTCAGTACATCCGCTTCTGCCCTTCATCTGTTATTGTCTTAATGGTAATCAGGCTTTTAGTTTTTTCCATATTATATGAACTGTTTGTGTGATACTTACCCGAAAGTCTTTCTAGTTCAGAGATCTTGCGGCGATAGTGAATCACAAGAGCAACTGAAACTACAGCCACAGCCACCAGCAGAAGATCAACAACACCAATCCCTGCTACAGCAGCTGCAGACAGACCTGAACCTGAAACAGCTAAAGAGAGACAGTCATTAGTGTGAATGTGTGTCTGATCTCTAACAAACACTAGAAACATCAGCACTATATAACCTGAGTAAAGATCTGATACCGTAATGATAAAGAGAGACAGTCACAGACTGTATATGTATAGACTACATTTCTATGTGTGTGTGTGTGTGTGTGTGTTACAGTATGTATCTGTAAGGATATTTATTATATAATGTGAAATGCAAGTGGACTACTGTAATATGAAGAGTTACAGTAAGTATACAGTATTACAGTACTGTGCACATTGCTGAAGTTGCAATGTGACCTATGACCTTGACCATAGTAAAGTAATGATTGAGAACATGGTACACAACAGTGGACCTTATTTCATCAGAAAACGTGCTCATGTCCTAGGCCTCTTCTGTCTCTTCTACTGTTTTGCCTCCCTACTAGAGGTGTAATAATACACTTATTACACTTTGATTCAACGCAAGATAGTGAACTCATAATACGATACTATCACAATATTTTAAAGCAAAGAAGAGGTTTTTTTTTAATTTTTTTAATGAATATTATTACTTCTAAGAGATTTGGTAAAAAATTAACTGTTAAAATGTATCAATGATTAAAATGCTAATTGTGGTATGGACTTGGGGTGGTGGACTTGAATTGACTTGAACTCGGTCCCGGTCACCAATGCACAGCGGAATGGTGACACCAGAATAAAAACAGTTACGATTCTGAAGCTGAAAATACAGAATTATGCTTGCACTCTGACACTGACTACATATAAATATGACCTTTTTTTACTGGTAAAATCAGACATTTGGCGTTATCAGGAGTATACACACTAAGCATACTTACACATGCACACACATTTTGTTGTAGATATCTGAAATAAATGAAGGGTAACAAAATGCTTAGTGCAAGTCTACTCTTTATAACACGTTTTCAGGTTTCACTGTAATCATAATTGTATAAAACTGATACCTCAGCTTAAATGCACTGGTAAACTTTGACTAAACTTTAAATTATAATGTTTTTATAATTTCTAAATATAAATCCAAAAGTAAAAACCTGATAAAAAAAGCATATTAGTCAGTAGAATTATCCACTAAGTTGTCCTCTGCTGCCATCTAGTGATTATAATTGAAATTTCAGGGAATTTACCATAGAAATACAGTGTTTTTAACCTTTATAACTGTTATAACGGCAACTTTTGCCCGACCTCCATATAATTTTGTATACTTTTTTAGAATCATATGACACATTTGCTTTGCTAATTTTGTGAAGTTTTGAGTTTTCTTTTAGATTTATAGGCTTTTGGATACACTAGATTAAGCCCATATTTTAAAAGGCCTTGTTATAACTTTCCAAATGCAAAATTTCAACATATTTTTGATAATTATTGACATAGAGAGTCCAGAGAAGTGTACTGCACGGATTAGCAAAAGCATGTTTTTTAAAGATCTCAAATATTTAACGAATGGTTTGATTGACAGCAGGGGTTCTTGAGGCAAAATAGTTCAGAATGAGGAAATCTAACATATGATTTTACTATTATGTATCTATATGAAACACTGCATGATTACAGAGGCGTAAAAAGCATTAGCACCCCCCATTGGCTGATTTCTTTCAAATTTCTCACAGACATTTAGGCCTCCGTTAACTCCGTCTAATAGGTGCTCAAACTTCATAAAGCACGATCCCCAAACCCACTATAGGATAAGTGGTTTGGAAGATGGATTGATGATATCTTGCAGTATTGTTCACCAAACCTCTCTGAGAGACTAGAACAGTTTAAGATACAAATATTATGTTTAACTATTCATATGAAGTGTAGATTTGTGAACACATTATTTTTTTCATTTAACTTTACTGTTCTCTGTTTTACATTGACCGACTTGATTTACTCACCAGTGACAATGACAGTGAATCTCCTGTTTATGGTGTGTCTCCTGCGGCTGATCTTCTGTTCATAAAGTCCAGAGTCAGTGGCGCAGGTGTTTGTGATGGACAGAGATCCAGTCTGATTGTCCAGCTTCAGTTTGTCTCGGAATCTCCCATCAGGACCATCATATATATAAAACCGTTGCGCTGCTTTATAGATTTCAGCTATGACAATGTCTCCAAACATCCACAGTATCTGATCATCGTTCTGTATTTTAGTCAAATTAATCTGCAGAGTAAGAGAATCTCCCTCCTTCACTAACACTGACTTCACTGCATCTGTCAGAACAAACACATGATGAACAGTGAGTGAGGAACAGCTCAGGCATAAATTATATACACACAGAAAGATGTTTTACATTTCACTTCACAAATCTCACTGAGCCTTGTCTATTACTGTCTCTCAGTTGTTTAATTTTCAATAAATTAATTAAATAATAAAAAAAAATGTCTAAGTTTAATTTCTATAGCACCACTTTATTGGTCACAAAGGCACATTTCAGGTCTAACAGGACCTTTCCATCAACGGAATGACTAAGAGAAGAAGAGAAATGTGTTCATCAGATCAAATGATAGTGCAGGTGAACATGAGTTCACTATAAATCTGAACACAACAGTAAATAATGAACAGACAGAGAAATGAAGCATCTGTCATGCACTTTCAAACACTTCACAACACATGAAAAAATAATTAGAGTTGAATCCTGTAATGTATGTTATGAATGAGAAGCACCTATACTAATATATGTCAGTATAAAGATCACCTTTAATATTACAGCTGCAGTGTCACTACATCATAAAATCATATAATCAATGTGACAATTGAGCTGTTAATAATAATAGTATTCATTTACAAATCAAAATGTTTCACTTCTTTGAGAGTGACTAAACTAATAGCACCACAAAGTTTCTTAGCCTTAAACAGTTAATTTAGTGCAAAAATTAGTTTTTTTCCCATTAACTATTCACGCATGTTTACACTGATGGACTCACCACTGACAGTTACACTGAATGTCTTGTGTATGGTCTGTTTGCTGCTGCTGGTATCAACTTCATAAAGTCCAGAGTGTTTGGTTCCAATGCTCTTGATTGTCAGAGATCCAGTCTGATTGTCCAGCTGTAATCTGTCTCTGAATCTCCCATCAGGACCATCAGATGTGTTGAAGATTCCAGCCTTTCTGTTGATTTCAGCTATAGGAGATGTCTGCTGTCCAAACCTCCACCGTATCACATCATATCTCTGTATATCAGGAACATCAGTGTGTAGAACGACTGAATCTCCCACCATCACTGTCACTGGCTTCACTCCAGTACTCACAGCTGAAGAACAAACACAAAACAGTTCCTCTGTCAGTCATCGCTTCTATAACACTGCCACTAAACAGATGTCTTGTCTAGTAAACATCATGCAGTATAATTTTAATTTATTCAATGGGTTTTAACTAGTCCAAATCAGATGGAGTGAATTTCACACATAATTTCACAAAGACACACATACTATCAAAAGTTGACAGTAACAAAACTTTTTTTTTAGAAAATTTGCCTCTTCAATGTGTCATCGAGACATAATAAAAAAATATGTTTATAAAGGTATTTAATTAAAAACATGAATTAATCTGCTTAGGGGGAAAAAAAATCTGTTTTCTACTTTTAAAAGTTTAAAACTCCATGTGTTGGTGAAGTCCCAGTCCTTTTTTCAGTTAACGAAGCCTTTAAAGGGGTCATATGATGTTGCTAAAAAGAACATCAGTCATCGCTTCTATAACACTGCCACTAAACAGATGTCTTGTCTAGTAAACATCATGCAGTATAATTTTAATTTATTCAATGGGTTTTAACTAGTCCAAATCAGATGGAGTGAATTTCACACATAATTTCACAAAGACACACATACTATCAAAAGTTGACAGTAACAAAACTTTTTTTTTAGAAAATTTGCCTCTTCAATGTGTCATCGAGACATAATAAAAAAATATGTTTATAAAGGTATTTAATTAAAAACATGAATTAATCTGCTTAGGGGGAAAAAAAAATCTGTTTTCTACTTTTAAAAGTTTAAAACTCCGTGTGTTGGTGAAGTCCCAGTCCTTTTTTCAGTTAACGAAGCCTTTAAAGGGGTCATATGATGTTGCTAAAAATAACATTATTTTGTGTATTTGGTGTAATGAAATGTGTTTATGCGGTTTAAGGTTAAAAAACACATTATTTTCCACATGCTTTACACTATTGTTTCTCCTCTATGCCCCGCCTTTCTGAAACGCGTCGATTTTTACAAAGCTCATCGGTCTGAAA